ATATATATATATATATATATATATATATATATTTTAAATTTATTGTCGGTTACCTTATTGTACAAATTTATCAACAAAGTTTGTAGAATTAAATTAGAAAAATTTTAAATTTTATTAACCAATATTTGTTCAAAGATCTTTCTAATTATCAAAATAAATACATACCAATTTGTCAAATTATCATCACTATCTTATGGCGATTTATTATGGTAATATGCTAAAATTTGAGAATCGTATCACCTTGATGTTATAACAAATTAACTTAAGATTCGACTTTCATACTCATAAAAAAAAAATCATACCACTTATTTTTTTTTCAAATTTTTCAATTACACTTCTGTCCATACCAAATAAAATTCATGCCATTTAAGTTCGAACATTTCATAACAAAATAAAATTTCGCACTTTATTCCTGTTGATGGACGAATCCTATCAACGGTTAATATTAAATTTTATGAGAGTAGAAAAGAGAAGGCAAGGAAGAAATACGATTAAATTAGCTTTTATTATGTAATCACGAGGTCGACCTCTGATAATAGGTCGACACTTATGCTACAGTTGGGAGTAATTACGAAAATTTATTACAGATTCTAGAGAGAGAAAATAGTAGTTGATGATTTCAACAATTCTAATAAATGAGTTGGTCTTCTATTTATAGTATATCCAGGTACGACATTGTTCAGGTACTGTTCATCGATCTTGTCCGCTCAGTGTTTCTGCTGGGCAGGCCGGTGCTGCTCTGACAGTTAATTAATTCGATTTGAGGTTTTTCTAATCATTACCTATCAGACATTTAATGCACACTTGGCGGGCATTTAATGCTGACAGACTTTTGTTGGGCTAGATGTTATAGGATGGCAGACTATGGCGGTCTATCCAATCGGTAATCATCATCTGCCAAGTGGCATTATTATATCATTATCGAGCCCCGCGCCTGACTTTGAGTCGGTCATGCAGGACCTCCAGGTCGACTCTTGAACATTTAATCTTCTTCTGGTCTTCGAGAGTCTTCTATTCAGGTCAGCAATCGACGAGGTCGGCTCCATCCATCAGGTGATAGGGGTGCCGACTTCAGTAATGACATTATTCGGCGGCCGCGATCATCATAATTACGCGTCCAACTCGTCACTTCCATAATTATCTGGAATTTCGGTCCGGTTTTGTGGTTGTCCTTTCCCGGTTTACGTTCGACTAACTCAGATGTCAACAATTCCATTCCAAATAAAACACATTTCCTACCGAAAATAAAAATGATCATCAGAATCCTCAAATAAAATCTCCCACTTTATACCAAAATAAGATTTGTTAATTTCTCTAACTTTCTTCCATAAATTGATTAATTATTTTTAGAGAAAGAATTTTTTGAAAATTTTCAAAAAAGAATAAGTTTAGTTATTTATAAGAATTTTAGACGAGATTTTAGTTTCTATATTTTAGGTATATACAAACATCTCTCTCTCTCTCTCTCTCTCTCTCTCTCTCTCTCTCTCTCTCTCTCTCTCTAAAGGGATCATCATATGAGAAAGAGGGATAGTAGAAAAAGAAGAAAGAATCATAGCCCTTGGATGTGAGATATCAACTATACACAGTCAAAAAGTCCACCTTAGTCAAATATGCAGTATCATTTCTGTAAATAAGTAGACTTTTGTTTTTTCATGTGGGGGTATTTTAGTCATTGTGCAGAATGTACTGTTGCGATAAAGTGCAACATCATATGTGTTGGGATCTATGAGGATCTCGTTATGTACAAATCACAAATTCAATAGCAAACGTAAAACCTATGCGCAACGGATCTAAAGGTTTGACATAGAAAACTTACGGCTTAAAATTTTTGGCGATCTGGCTGATCTTCTGGATGGTCGTACACAATTACAAGAACTGGATTGGATCACGAACAGAACGCCGGGCTGACAATCAGATCGTGTGGCGGAGCTGATCGGATCACCGGGCTTGAATCGCCAGTCGCGGGGCTGGACGCGTCTCGTGGGTTAGCGAGTCCGGCGGTGGCGCGTCGCGGCTGGCTGGCTGGCGCGTGCGGCATCGCGGTTGGGCTGGTCACGGTGATCCGGTGGTCAACGGGTTCAGCTTGTCGGGTTGGTTCCGGCGGGTTGGGCTCGTCGACTTCTGTAGAAGATTATCGGGTCTCGAACACCTATGGATCTTCTATTGTATATCTCAAACACCCTCTTCAACTTGTACCGGGAACAACAAGAAAAAGATAAAGCTCGAATGAGAACTGAGAGAGAGAGAGAGAGAGATGGGGCCGGCGTGTTTTACACGAATTATGAGATTTCTCTTCTCTTCCCATGAATTTAATGATTTATATATAGATCTACAGTAGGGACTCTTAGGATATTAGAAATAGGGCTCCTTAATTAATTAAAATACTTGTGGGTCAACCCACTTATTCTAATTAATTAAATAATATTAAATGGGTCACCAACATAATATTATTGCACTCTCTTTTTCTAGCAAATTTAAAATTCAGACTCCAATAATAATTATTCGATTTATCTCCTCATGTTTAAGATATAATGTCTGTTAATTAATTTGATTACTGACAATTAAGAATTAATTAATTTATTATTATTTCACCGAAGCTAGCGCTCGTTCATCACATTATTACTATGTCGGAATTTAATCCACCTGCAGGGTTTACTATAATAATCCTTCATGAACTCACTTCGGGGACATCATCAAACTAAACGTACATGGTGACCGTAAATATCCTAACAACACATCATACATGCAACAATATTATCCAAGACAGAGGGTCTATTGGCCTAGTTCACTAAACCTCACCCATGTGAATCAAAGAATCAAATACAACACACATATATGTGTGTTTAATATCTTATGGGTTAAGAAAACGCAGTAATTAACTGAGACCTAGTCGTTTACGACGATCAGTATAAAATGAACTGCTCCTCTCTGGGATCCTGTTCAATACATAAATGTACCAGTACAACTAATCAGCCAAGAAAAAATGTACCGTTGACACTACAACCGTTCTGATGGGGTGTTCATGTCCATCTAGGTTGTGAACCAAGCTTTCAGTATATAACACTAACACTCTCCCACTTATACTTAAAGTTTTCGCTTTTACAAAATAGTCCTATCAATCCGTTATTCTAAAAGACCTATGTCGATCCTATCGCCATTCTCTTGACTCCCATTCCTATCATGTGTTTGACGAAGATCTTCTCCGGCAAACTCTTCGTGAAGAGATCAGCTAGGTTGTCCTCAGATGCAATCTTGGCAACATCAACGTCACCTCTACCAACTATCTCTTAAATCAGATGGTACTTGCGCTCTATGTGTTTGCTTGCTCTGTGGGCTCGCGGTTCCCTTGAGTTTTCTACTGCTCCACTGTTATCACAGTACACGGTGATACCACGTGGCAAACTCAGAATCACTTCTAAGTCCACTAAGAAGTTTCTGAGCCAAACTGCCTCTTTTGCTGCCTCTGAGGCTGCTATGTACTCGACTTCAATGGTGGAGTCTGCCACGCATTTTTGCTTAGCACTCCTCCATGAAATGGCTCCACCTCCCAAGGTAAACACCTAACCAGAGGTTGACTTACTTTCATCCCTATCTGACTGGAAATCAGAATCACTGTAACCTAGAGGTAACAAGCTGTCTGCACGGTAAACTAACATGTACTCCTTAGTCCTTCTCAGGTACTTGAGTATATGCTTCACTGTAGACCAATGTTCCCGTTCCGAATCACTTTGATATCGAGGCACCAAGCCAACGACGTAGCTAATATCCGGTCTAGTACACAACATAGCATACATGAGACTTCCAACTGTCGAAGCATAAAGGGTAATATTAAATGCGTATATTTTGAAGATGTGAAAATATTTTGTTAATTTTTACACTTTTGCTAATAAAATAAAATATTATACTATTGTTTGTGCAATTATTTTTATATATGTTCGGTCGTGGAGTAATTTTCTCAAATGAAAAATCCGACCTTGATGTCACTGCTATACTCGACCTTAAGCCCAAAATGGCCCAAAGTTGTGGCCTTTCAAGGTATCATTAGTCGAGGCAATGGGTACTAGTCTTCCAGCAATTTAACGGCTATAATTTTATTTTATTTTATATATTTATTATTTTAATAATGCATCGCAACCTGATTCGCCGGTTGCAGGTTAAAACCACGCTTCCACCACAGCGCAAGCTGGAAGCAATTCTTCCTTTTCAAATAATCCAAACCCTTGGTCTTTATTCCTTTCTCTCCTCCTCTTTTCCTCGCTCTTTCTCTCTCTCTCTCTCTCATCAAGGTACTCGCTATATCTGTATGTTCTTGTGTGCTCTTTTGCATACTTTCGATCGATCGATTGTGTTCACCGATTTGTTTCTAATTGATCTAGGGTTTTGTAATTTGGAACGATGTCGCTGAGGCCGGGCACTAGGGCGGAGGTTCGCCGCAGCCGCTACAAGGTCGCGGTGGACGCCGACGAGGGGCGGCGTCGGAGGGAGGACAACATGGTCGAGATCCGTAAAAACAAGCGCGAGGAAAGTTTGCTGAAGAAGCGAAGGGAAGGGCTCCAACAGCAGCAGCAGTTCTCGGCTTCTCTTCAATCGTCTGCGGTCGAGAAAAAGGTAGATCGTATGTGTTTTTTGATTTTTTGGAACAGGAAGAGAGTCAAAAGATAGAACCTTGTTGGTTGGTTTTGGGTTTTTGTTTGATAAAGGGTTAGGTTTCTTTTTATGTCATGCTGCACAGAACTTTAATTAAACAGTACTTATGGATTCTGTAATTCTATTTACATCTACGTTGTTGATATAATTGTAAGGTTGCAAGTGATTGTGCGGTTCACATGAACATGTCCATGTAACAATTATTGATCTGATGTTTTTTTATGTCTGGATTGGATTGAAATTTGCCATCTGGATTTTGTCTTGTCTGGGATCTTGTTTGCTAACTCTTATTTGGTGAGACTTCTTTTGGAAAGTGGAATTGACTACATAATAGCTTAGTCTATTGGTTGACATTGAATTCAATACCTCATCTGATGAATAAGTTCTTATGGAGTCTTTGCTCTTGCGGCTTAGTAGTATTCTTTTCTGTTATGCTTTTGTTCCTGTGTTTTGTTCAAATTTGTTATAGGTGAATCCTATTTTGTTCTGTGTATGAGTTTTAAACTTTTTGCTAATTTAATTGCCTTATGGGGGAAAAAAATCCTATTTTGTTATGGTGGTATCTGCTCGTGTGTGGTACAAGTTTATTATAGGAGAATTTTGATTTTTTTTTGGTAAGCCAATTATAACTATCCCTGCATAAAAGGGTGTAATATGTGCCAGATTGTACCGTAGTAACTATGGGTTCGCATGTTTGTAACTGAACCTTAAACACAATGGCTGATTAGTATTTTTTATCTAAAAAATTTTATGATATTTCCTTTTATTGAAGGATTTAATAAGTGTGGCATTTTCTCTTTCTTTTTTCTTTCCTTTTATTTTTATGTTCTTGATTGAGTGGCTTTATTCCATTTATGATTGTCCCTATCTGTATGGAATATCTTAATCTTGAACTGTATGCAGTTGGAGAGCCTTCCTTCAATGGTTGCTGGCGTATGGTCGAATGATGCCAATTTGCAGCTAGAAGCAACTACCCAATTCCGCAAGTTACTTTCAATTGGTATGAAATGTGTTATCATATGTTATGGTTCACTTTGTCTGTATATCTTATTGTGATTTGCTGACTATGGTCTTTTTTTCATGACCGCCACTTCTATATTATTAACAGAAAGGAGCCCTCCAATAGAAGAAGTAATACAATCTGGTGTTGTTCCTAGATTCGTTGAATTCCTTACAAGGGAGGATTTCCCCCAGCTCCAGGTTTTCCCAACGTGTTCAAGGCTTATTCGAAAACATTAAATGCATGGTTTTTATTTTTTATTCACATCTTATGAATCTTTTACAGTTTGAAGCTGCATGGGCGCTCACCAACATTGCATCTGGTACTTCAGAAAACACCAGGGTGGTTATTGATCATGGAGCAGTACCGATTTTTGTAAAGCTGCTGGGTTCACCCAGTGATGATGTTCGTGAGCAGGTATTTCCTCTCTTTCAAATTTTACACTCAGTTTATATTATATCCAGCAGCTGGGATGATTCTTGTGTGTTATTAACCGTTTCCCTTAAAAAAATTGTAGGCTGTGTGGGCATTAGGTAATGTTGCTGGTGATTCTCCTAAATGCCGTGACCTTGTCCTTGGTTATGGTGCCTTGGTTCCTTTGCTTTCTCAGCTGAATGAGAATGCAAAGCTTTCGATGCTGAGAAATGCTACTTGGACGTTGTCGAACTTCTGCAGAGGCAAACCCCAGCCTCCCTTTGAGCAGGTAGTGGATTTTATTTTAGTTTACATTGGAGGATATGGTGCTTTTTTCGCTTGTTATTTGTTGAGATGTTATCTACTTCTTTCATCAGGTGAGACCAGCACTTCCTGCTCTTCAGAAACTTGTCTATTCAAATGATGAAGAGGTTCTTACAGATGCATGCTGGGCTCTTTCATACCTCTCTGATGGCGCGAATGACAAAATTCAAGCTGTGATCGAGGCTGGTGTCTGTCAAAGACTTGTTGAGCTCCTCCTGTAAGTGGCTTTTTGCTTTATTGTTTGATGGATAACAGTACTTGAACTCTAGGAATGAATTATATATTCATTTTCATTTTCACGTGTTTCAGTCATCCTTCTCCTTCGGTGCTTATCCCTGCACTTCGTACAGTTGGGAATATTGTGACTGGTGATGATGCTCAAACTCAGGTAAACATTTTTTTCCACATTCAAGTGCAGATTTTGTTTGGATTTTGTTTTTCTTCTTTGTTATTAGTTTTGCTTGCTGGGAAGCCTGGCATTGTTGGCAGCTACTACAAGAGAGAAATGGACCGTGTAAATGAAATCTTTATATGGTCGACTTCTTTCTTTGTTTTGCAGTTTATCATCAATAGTGGTGCTCTTCCTTGCTTGTTAAGTCTGTTGACTCACCATCATAAGAAGAGCATCAAGAAAGAAGCCTGTTGGACAATTTCAAACATCACTGCTGGAAACAGAGAACAAATACAGGTATATATAACTTCTCTTACATTGTAGTCTTGTAGATATCAATGATAGTGACTTTGGAGTTTGAAAACGAACTCAGATGACATCTTGTTTCATTTCTACCTGTTTAAAGTTCTTATGTTGCCCCCAAATGATAAAAAGATTATTTGTGGAGTTTTTCTCGATCACGATCTGTGCCTCAATGGATGGTTGGTTGTGCTAAACTATTATGTGATGTACATGTACTAGCCTTTTTACTGTTTTTTGTACACATGTTCACTAAGCTATATCCAAGCTGTTTAATAGGTAGAGATGCGAACGTTTGTTTGCGTCTATTGGTTTCTGCTTAAGGTTTTAACATAGCACCATTTTTATTTTATCATTGACCCATGTCATATTAATTGCACTCATTTTTGTATGACAGGCTGTAATTGATGCTGGCTTGATAGGTCCCTTGGTGAATCTGCTTCAGAATGCTGAATTCGATATAAAGAAAGAGGCTGCATGGGCTATTTCAAATGCCACATCTGGAGGAGCAAATGAGCAGATCATGTATTTTTGTTTTTTCATAATTTGGTTTAATTTATCAAGCATAATATATTGTTTGCGACTAAGTTGTACCCTATATATCTTATAGGTACCTTGTGAACCAGAATTGTATAAAGCCCCTCTGTGATCTTCTGGTTTGCCCCGATCCTAGAATAGTGACTGTATGTTTGGAGGGGCTCGAAAACATACTGAAAGTTGGGGAGGCGGAGAAGGGTAATACTGGTGATGTCAATTACTTTGCCCAGTTAATCGATGAAGCTGAGGGATTAGAGAAAATAGAGAACTTGCAGAGTCATGACAACAATGAGATTTATGAGAAGGCTGTGAAGATGCTGGAGACCTATTGGCTCGAGGAAGATGAGACTATACCTGAAAGTGATGGGAACCAAGCTGGATTCAACTTTGGGGAAAATGGTGTTCAACTCCCACCTGGTGGATTCAGTTTTAACTGAAGGTGAACTATTTGGTCCCTGCTGATGATGTTGATTATTGCTTGGTACTTGTATTATCCATCTTGATGTTTTGATTATTTTTATACTGTTTGATTTTGAAAGAAGCTTATTTTTTAAAATTACAACTATCATTGACGTAAGCGAATTTTTTAGGGGGCCAATTTACCTTATTTCCAAGATCAAAGGGATAATGGAATGTCATTATATTTTCAGGTTTCTGGGGAGTTGAAATGGAGCAGTCTGTGATGATAGTACCAATGATTTGGTGAGGGTCCATGGTCGGGTCATGTCGCATCACGGTAATGTGTTTGGTGAGTCGGGTCCAGAGTCTGTCATGGTCGAGGGTTGCCTAGTCGGGTCGGGTCGGGTCGATTCGGTGGTAAAGAAGCAGCGATTGTGGAGTGCAGGATGGGCAGAGATGGTCGGTCGCGTGTCGTTGAGTCGTATTCGCCAGTATGGTCAGGTGTCATCGAGTCGTATACCCCAGTTTGTGGTCGGGTTGTTTTAGGGGAATTATCTCGCACTGGGTAAAATGATTTTTGGGAGTAGAATGGGATTTTGCAAATGGAGTCTTTTTCATATTTGTTGTGTTATTTTAATCCAGTGAGGGTCCTGTTAAGGGCATAACACTAAGTACTGTTTCTCCCTCTATATATGCTTTTCTTCTGGAACTAAACACCAAGTGTTCTGGATTTGAGACTAAAAATATCAATGTTACGGTTTTTATGATACTATCCTGAAGGTTTATGATTTACTTGTTTTTATTACTGCTTTTTTGTTTGAGATTGTTCGGTTGGACGAGGTTTTTTTGTGAAAGATGGTGGGTCCTAATTGGATCTGATGACTGCTCAATTTATGTGCTTGTTTTGGTTCAGGGCTGGAGATCGTTAACTGAATCGAGGCAACCAGTCAAGCCCGAGCTTTGACTGCTGAAAGTACAAAATCCAGTTATCTTCAGAAAAGAAAATGAGAAAAAGTTTTTGGCTAGATTTAAATCTCCAGTGGCATTTTCAATTTCCTGTGCAGTCCTTTTCCATTTATTTTTCCAGTGGCATTTATTTTCAGTTTTTCGGCAACCACGTTTTTCCAGCGGCTCTGTTTTTTGGGCTGGTCAAGGACTGTCAGCTGGCTACAGTTCGAGCCTCCACAGCTACTCAAAGATGGCCCCAAAATTACAGCCCGATGCCTCAGTCCGGCGACCCCCGTATGACCCTGTTTTTTCGGCTGCTCAAGGACGGTCAGCTGGCTACAGTTCGAGCCTCTACAGCTACTCAAAGATGGCCCCAAAATTACAGCCCGGTGCCTCAGGCTGACGACCCCCGTTTTTTCGGCGGAAAGCTTAAGCTCCGACAATTTTCCAGCGGTCATGGCTAAATTAATTGATTCTTCCATGAAATGTCCATGGCTAACTATATTAATTAATTCTTCCATGAAATGTCCATTTTACACCTAAATTAATTAATAAGAAAT